ATTCCTATTCTTGGTAGTAAAAGAAAATAAAATCCCAGAAGAGACCAGGAGCAGATCAGTCTCCTAATGTTGCCAAGAAAACAACACGTCCGTAAAATACCCAAGGAATTAATTTTAATTTGAAGGAGACTTTTTAAATCTACCTATCTAAATCTTAGATTTTTAAATCTAAGTAAAAAAAATGTGGTCTTCAGTTTTAAGGACTGCAGCACCGGTGGAATAAAATCCCGGGGTGAGAAAGAATATGCCGAAGCCCAGTTGTTATTCTGCTTTTACACAAAGGAGGAAAACAGGCGGCCCTAACTTGCTCCCGGCTTCTTGTCCGACCTGACCACGACTCACTTTCCAGCTGCTGATTGGACCATGGGAAAAGCCAGACAGCCACTCTGCACGGCTCCTCTGGGAGCCGAAAGAGGAAGTTCCTCTCCCCATCTCTTTTCCCGTGTAGATCCTTTCTAGCAATATTCGGTGGTTTTAACTCTATCTCTCCCGTTGGATGTCGGATCAACGCCGCTATTAGAGTGGAGGTTTTCCAGTGTAGTCTTAGAGCTCCATCTGGTGGCTTAAGACTGAAAATAGGCGCATTCTGTCCCTATATGATGTTTTTCCACTATTAAAGGACATCAGTCCTTTGGCGGCTTAGGTCACTGGAACTGGCAACAACCCAAGCCTGTCACGTCCCCTGAGCTATCGGCGGCGCAATTTTGTTTTTCATTTAATTGCATTGCGTATGCGCGTGCAGCGCGCCTTAAGCGTACATAGGAGCGAACCGGCATTAGTGCCTACCGGAACCCACTCCTGGACTATATCCATAATTTTTCTCCAGGACGATCTATTCCCAAGTCTGTCCTTTGGGGTCTCGCAGGGATGTCCTCATTGTCACTGCAACTGACTCCGCAGCTTCATTTCCAAGAACTAAACAAGGGAAAGCATCTATGGGGGGGAATACAATGTGCCATCAGGCAACAAGAAAGTGCACCTCCCTATGGGATCAGCAAAGATTATTCCAGCCAGTTCTCCATCTTGGGGTGCAGGATATCTCCCCAAAACTAACTTTACAACTGAGGGAAGCTTGAAGAGTGAAGTTTGATCCTACTTAGCTTCACAAGATTACCAGCTGCTGCATCAGCTTTAAACAATTTCCAGCTTCATCCCATTAATAAAAGAATGAAATATGGTGGGGAAACGTTGAATTCACAGCCCAACCCCACATTGCTTCCAAACGCATCTAGATAGCAGATATTGATTTTCTATCTAATCTCACTGGAGGGCAGAATTCCTGTGAGGAGCCCATTTCCAGAGGAGTTAAGATTCCAGCATGGAATATTCTCAGACGGCTTGCAAAAAAACATTTGGAGGGCGGACGTTTCTTGAAAGGTGACCTAAAGAGTCCTGGGCTTTAATTGTTGGCTCTCAATTCCTCTCCCAGGCCCAGAAAGCAACAGGCCTGGAGACCACCCACTTGCCCATAACTCTCACCTGCTTCCCTGCTTCCCTGGGACTCCGACCTCTTCCCACATCCAAATCACATGATGTCCTCCCTTAATGACCTAAGTTATTTATTACAATAATAGCATTTAGAATTATATACCCCACCCCACAGTGCTTTATACTAGTGATCACCAACCAGTGGTCCGTGTACTACTCGTGGTCCATGACAATTTTTTTAAAAATCATGTTAGTGGTCTGTGGGATTTCAAATTATGAATTTAGTGGTCTCTGAGGTCTGAAAGGTTGGTGACCCCTGCTTTATACCCAGAGGTCGGATTCAATTTTTTTTACTACAGGTTCTGTGGACGTGGCTTCGTGGGCGTCATTAGGTGGTGATATGACTGAATGGGCGTGGCTAGGTGGTCATATGACTGGGTGGGGGCATGGCTGGTTGCTCATTTGTTTCTTTAAGGTGCAGTTCAACATGCTTGTAATCATCTTTTATGCCGTTTCTTTATTATAGCAATAGCACTTAGAATTATATACCACCCCACAGTGCTTTACACCACCCTCGGTTTACAGTGTCAGAATATTGTCCCAATTATTGGCCCTCATTTTACTAACTTCAGAGGGATGAAAGGCTGACTTAACTTCAAGCACCATCAGGATCAAATTCCAGGCCTTTGGCAAAGTCAGCCAGCATCACTGCACTTTTTAATCATGACACCACCAAGGCAGCTGTCATTACTGCACTTTTATTATTTTTGCATCCATCTGTTCTACCAGATCAGATAGGATGGACACCCTGCTAGACCATTCCCTTAAATATTGCCAGGTGATAGGAGCTAAGAAGTGTCCCTATTCCTTTGCAAACCCTGACCTATGGAACACACTTCCCCATGAAGTTTGGGAAGCATTTATCCTCCTGGTCTTGTATAAAATAAGAAAGTTCTTGCTGAGCCCCTAAAGACTGGGATAAGAAGCGTTGCTTGACTTGGAACCACATTTTTGTTAACATTTATTAAAATTATATGCCGCAAATTGGAGGTTAACTTCTCCACTTTGACTCCTTGCAAGGAGAAAGATAACCAGTTTTGAGCAAGAATGGTACCTGACATGAACACAATTAGTAAGGCCTGGAGGCCTGGTTAACTTCTAAACTAAACAAAAGCAAGAATCACCTTTCCGAGATTCCCAGATCATCAAAATGCCATCAACTTCAGTAGAAGTCATCTGTATTTACAGAGCAAGTACAATGTAAATGCAGAGGCTTTGCATTTTGCCACCTCCTACATATGGGGTTTATAGGTTTCTGTAATAAAGTTTTATTGCTGAAACCCTATGGAGTCATGAGAGTTGGGTTCCCATATACATTTTGATACTGAAGAAAAATACATAAATACATACATATTTATATCCCCCTTTATTATATGTAGAAATAATTCAAGGTGGCAAACAAGAAACAATGCTGTCTAATAGTGTCATTTGTGAAGTGGTCAAGAATGGGGAAGCCCAATATCCAACCTAGCACTCGCATTTCCATGGCATGGATCTAGCTTTGGGTCCCTCTTGTTGCTGCCCAGCATTCAGTGCCATACAGTGCTACAGGGCAGACTTTCACTAAAAAGAATCATGCAAGAAATTATATGGTAAATTGCTCAGTTGGGTTACAAATGAGAGATAAGAAACAAAATTCAAGATTTCTCCACAGACATCAAGTTTTGCCACAAGCGCAATTTCTTGTGTGTTATAAGGGAAGAATTTTGTACAAAACAATATTTTTCTGCAATCTGGGTAGTTGACTGGTTACTCCCCTATGTGTAACCTTACATGCTTTATAAGGCTAGACCTAGTACCGAAATCTTTCCCACAATCTGGACATTCGTATGGTTTCTCTCCTGTGTGAGTCCTCTGGTGTATCACCAAATGGGAATTCTGACTAAAACTTTTCCCACATTCAAGACACTCATATGGTTTCTCTCCTGTGTGAGTTCTCTGATGTTCAACCAGGTTGTAATTCCGACTAAAACTTTTCCCACAATCCAAACACTCATATGGCTTCTCTCCTGTATGAGTCCTCCGGTGAATTACCAGGTTGGGATTCTGACTGAAACTTTTCCCACAATCTGGACACTCATATGGTTTCTCTCCTGTGTGAGTTCTCTGATGTTTCACCAGGTTGGAATTATCCTGGAAACTTTTCTCACAATCTGGACACTTATATGGTTTTTCTACTGTGTGAGTTCTCCGATGTCTCATCAGATTGGAATTCTGACTGAAACTTTTGCCACAATCTGGACACTCATATGGTTTCTCTCCTGTGTGAGTTCTCTGATGTTCCACCAGGTTGTAATTCCGACTGAAACTTTTCCCACAATCCAAACATACAAATGGTTTCTCTCCTGTATGAGTCCTCTGGTGAATCACCAGGTTGGCATTGCCAGTAAAACATTTCTCACAATCCGGACACTTATAAGATTTCTCAACTGTGTGAGTCCTCTGGTGTATCCCTAACTTGGAATTCTGACTAAAATGTGTCCTACTATCCAAACAGTTATATAAGTTCTCTCCTGTGTGAGTCCTCTTGTGTACCACCAGGCTAGAATTGTGAGTGAAACCTTTCCCACAATCACAACACTTATATGGTTTCTCTCCTGTGTGAGTCCTCTGATGATCTACCAGAGTGGAATTCTGACAGAAACTTTTCCCACAAACTGGACATTCATATGGTTTTTCTCCTGTGTGAATCCTCTGATGTGCCACCAGGTGGGAATTCTGACTGAAACTTTTCCCACAATACAGACACTCATATGGTTTCTCTCCTGTGTGAGTCCTTTTGTGTATCACCAGGTCAGAATTCCGTGTGAAACCTTTCCCACAATCCGGACATTCATATGGTTTCTCTCCCGTGTGAGTCCTTTTGTGGACCACCAGGTCACAATTCCGTGTGAACCTTTTCCCACAATCCAGACATTCATATGGTTTCTCTCCCGTGTGAGTCCTTTTGTGGACCACCAGGTCAGAATTCCGTGTGAACCTTTTCCCACAATCCGAACATTCAAAATGTTTCTCCCTAGTGTGAGTCCTCTTGTGTCTGCATGCTAAATCTTTTGCCACATTCAGAGTACTGGTAGGGCTTGTCTTCAATATCGGTCCTTCCATGAATCATGAGGAAGAGTTATTGAGTAACGCTCTTGCCGCACTCCAAGTATTTGTATGGGTTTTCATTGGGTGGATCCTCTCTTCCATATCAGCTCTGATCTTGAATCTGTGTTTTTCCCACAATAGGCACTGAGGTTTTTCCCATACTGGTATTCTTGTACTCTTGAGGAGGCCAAAAATATTTCTGATCTGTTACTTGGAGGTTCTTTGATTCAAGCCATTCTTTCCTTCGCCAAAAGACTTGCATTCATACCTGTCCATTTTGGCTGTGCAAGGAACCTTTTCCTTCCCACTGACGTCCAGTTATTTCCACTGTTTCTTTATCTGGGTCTTATCTCTCTTGACTTCTCAGTTAAAGTTTGCTTTAATTCTACATGCTCTATTTTTTTCCAGGTCAAAACTTTGTTCTTATTATTCTCTCCCTTGTCTCTTATCTGCTGAGGAAAGAGGAGAGTGTTTACAGTTTCTGGAGGAAAGGGGGGAAAATGTTGATTGATGGCTTGTTTTGCATTTTAAAGCTGCTTCTCATTCTCTGTTGCCCAGTGCTCTTCTTGGCATCCTCCTTGTCTGTAAGATTCATATTAATGGATTAGTTTCATTATTATTTAAAAATCTGCTGCGGGACATGCGAAAGCAGAAAAAAACCCAACTCTCATATATTACCATGAAAGAAAAAAACAGCAAAGTTCTAGTTTTAATTCTAACATTAATTATGATTCATTCAACTCAATCACAAAATCCTTTTTTTTTGGCTTGGGTAAAACAGACATGCATGCCTAAATAAAAAGAATTCATTTAGGTAGACAATCTATGTTCATTTCAGTATGCAAAATATCCTAGAACTGCATTCATTTTTTTTAAAATCTAAATTAGAAATGTGGGGACGCTAAATTAGAAATGTGGGGACGCTAACAGATGGAACGATGCCCAAATCCAATGCAAGATTTAAATAATCCATTTTACCCATGAGACTCCTCGCTTTCCAGGAAAACAACATGACAATAATATGTCAAGGAATCAAGAGACTGAGGGAGATGGGCAGATATAAGTATAAAAAAATAAAGATTTTTTTAAAATCTCTTAGGTCTCTTATTCAGAATAGAGCTGGAAGGATCCCTGTGGGTCTTCTAGCCCAACCCCCAGCTAAAGCGAGAGACCCTATACTGTTTCAAGCAAGTGACTGTCCAGCCTCTTCTTAAAAACTTCCAGTGATGAAGCACCTAGAACCTCTGAAGGCAAAGCTGTTTCACTGGTTAATTTTCCTTACTGTTAAGAAGTTTTGCCTAATTCCAGGTTGCTTTTCTCCTTGATTCGTTTCCATCCATTGTTTCTTGTTCTGCCCTCTAATGCTTTGGAAAATAAGTTTACCCGTTCTTCTTTGGGGCAACCCCTCAAATACTGGAATACTGATTGGTTTTCCATCCATTGCTTCTTGTCTTGCCTTCTCGTGCTTTGAAAATAAACTGGCCCTTTTCTTTTTGTGGCAATCTGTCAAATATTGGAAAACTGCTATCATGTCTCCCCCTAGTCCTTCTTTTGTGTAGGCTAAGCCATACCCAAATCCTGCAACCGTTCTTTATGGTTTAGTCCCCAGGCCTTTCAATTTTAGTCTCGCCCATTTCCCGGCAGAAAATTACAGGCAGCAGATTTAAATTATAAGGCATAAATGTAATAACATTTGGGGAGAGAAAGAACATGCAACAGCTGACATGTCTCAGCCTTGTTGCTTCTCTGCTTTTACTCCGTGGAGGAAATCAAGGAGCCCGACTTGCTCCCGGCTTCTCCTCTGACCTATGCTCAATTCACCTTCCAGCTGCTGCTTCCACTCTGGGAAGAACACAACAGCCGCTCTCCACGCCTCCATCGTCCCATGGGTCAGCCGGAGGAGAAAGTGCCTCTGCCTGTCTCCTCTCCACATCCTTTCTAGCAATATTAACTAGTTTTAACTCCTTTCACCCCCGCTGCGCCCCCTACTGTTGGATGTTGCAACTCAGCCACAGTGTTCCGGGCACTGGTGTTGTGTTACAGCACCACCTAGTGATGTGAGCCTGAAAATACACCTCATTCTGTTTCTTATCTGGACACACACAAATTTTCCCTCCTTTAATAAAGTGCAGTTTTCAACGGAAGAAAGAGCAATGAAAGGTTGGCAGCTTGGGAGTACCACTTACCCTCTGCTCGCAGCTCTGATTTTGCAACCAGGAGAAAGGGCTATGCAGGAGGAAAGACACCTGGGCCCTTCTCAGTCTGGGTTCACGCCGGAGCTCATCACCTGTGAGAAGAAAAATCCATGTGGTTCAGGTCCAAGATGGGAATAAAATAAAATGGAGACTGATTGGAAAGAAAGTTTGATGATGAACACAACCAACAGCACTTCTGGGACAGCTGACAAAAGGGAGTTGAGAGTGGGTGAGTTTTTATACCTTCTTTGGGTTTTGTACTTGAGCTTCCTGTTCCTGTGCAAGAACATGTCCTTTAATATTCTAATGGCTGTCATCAGATTCCTATGGAGTCATGGCTGGCTCTATAGGCGAAAGGGGAAATGCAAATCCTAGGTGCTTGTCTGAGCTCACCCTGTCAACGTTTGGCTTGTGTAATTGCTTATTTGGAGTTTCCTGTCTGAACCAGTCTTTCTGAATGGACTACCAAATCAGCATTTCTAAAAGCTGGCCTCTTCAATTTCTACTTGTGGAAGGGGAAATGGTGCTGGTTTCTGGCTCCCTTAATAATTTTTTTTTTCATTTCTCCTTTGGGGAAATGTCATATTTTGTCTCTTTTGATAGTCCCAAAATATTTCATTCTTCTGGTGTGGGGGTTGGTTGCTGACTCCCTACCAGTGGTGGCATTACAAGAATTTAATAACAGGTACTCTGCTCTAATGACTAGGTGGGTAAGTGTGGCCAGATGGTCATGTGACTGGGTAGGCGTGGCCAACTTGATGTCACTCATCACACCCAGCCCCACCTCCAGTCCCCTTGCCTCAAAGACAGGGGTGGGATACAGGCAGTTCTGGCTAATCCCACCACTGGCTGGCTCTGCCCCTGCCCCTTTTTTGGCCCGTTTTGTAGTCCACATGTCTTAAAGTTACCAAGGTTGGATACCCCTGAGCTAGATGTTCTGATAGATCAGTGTTTTTCAAATTTGACAACTTTTAAGATGTGTAGACTTTAACTTCCAGAAAACTGTCTGGGCAATTCTGGAAGTCCGCACATTTTAGGTTTGTAAGTTTGAAAAAGCCTGTCAAAAATGGTCAAATTAAGATCCTTTTTAGGGATCTGTGCTTGGGTCTCTCCCTCTCTCTGTCTCTCTCTCTCTCTTAATGACAGATTATCCTGAGCAGGAGATCTAATGAAGGAAGACTCTAATAGAAACATGCTTTATAAATAAAAATATAGAAAGGCATCTAAGGATCACTAATCTCACACCTTCAGGGACCATAATTTATGAGAAGAAGCTCACAATGATCTCAACAGACGTTTTCCTCAACTCTGCTTTGCCTGCATATGCAATATCCATGCTCTGTCATTGAACCGTGATCATTCTTGCCCTTAAAATAGACACAAAGTCCTCTCAATCACAGGAATTGTCCTCCATTCTCTTTATTTATAGTATGGAATCTTAATTAAAGGGCACATTAAAAGGCTTTTTTTTTTCTGGGAAAGGCATAAAACTGTATTCTTTCCCCTATCTCATTTCAAACAGCTCCGTTTGGATTTTCTCAGAGCAGGGGCAAAATTCAGCAGGTTCTGGAGAGCCAGTAGCAGAAATTTTGAGTAGTTTGGAGAATCGGCAAATACCACCTCTGGCTGGCCCCAGAGTGGAGCGGGAATGGAGATTTTGCAATATCCTTCCCCCAGGAGTGGGGAGGGAGTGGAGATTTTGCAATATCCTTCCCCCAGGAGTGGGGAGGGAATGGAGATTTTGCAATATCCTTCCCCCAGGAGTGGGGAGGGAGTGCGGATTTTGCAGTATCCTTCCCCTGCCACGCCCGCCAAGCCACGTCCACAGAACTGGTAGTAAAAAAAAAATTGAATTTCACCACGGGCTCTGAGTGAAATCATGGTTGGAAAAGTAACTAAACAATTAAATACTAAGTGGCCTCGCTCAATAATACTGGACTTCTTGAATGCAATCCAGCTAAAAGATCTTAATGTGATGCTAAATTATGTTCCAAAACTGAGGAATCTGACTGTCTATGAGGAATTGTGATTGCTCCAGACATGGAGGGGTGGCAAAAAGAATTATATTGAAAATTGGAAAAGTGATATCATTCCAAACATTAAGGATTGTCTTTTGGAAATATGTAATTTCTTTGTTCTGGAAAATACAGTATTTTAAACTAATAAAAGAATGAAGCAATACGTTATTCTTCTATGCAAAGTTCATGATATTTTACAATAATACTGTGGTATTGTTACGCAATTTCTATCTTTTTTTGTATTAATTTTGCATATTAAGCAAGGGGTATATTTTGTAAATCATTGATATGTGTATCTTTAATGTACATATTAGATAGTTAATATTGTAATTTAGAACATCTTATGTAATGGGTCTTTTTTCTATTTTTTGGTTTGGTTTAGTTTTAATTTTACTGTTGGTTATTTTTTTTCTTAATTGTTCTTGTATTGTATGATTCCTTTCTATTGTTTGTCTTTCATATACCAGACTCCTCTTTATTTTTTATAAATTCTTCATTCTATTGCCTATTAGCCCAGTATTACCAATACTGCATTTACCTACTTGCATCTCAATTGACTTCATCTGAATCTACATATCCTAAGATGTTAGATATTAATAATAGCCTTTAAAAGCATCAGCTTTTAAAAAGTTAGTCTTAGA